AATTAAGCATCAGCTAATATATCAAGGAAAAGCTTGTAGGCCGATTCCATTCCCGAAAACTCGTTCTCACGCACAACTGAGCATCGTAAAAGGCTGTGACACACCCATATATCGAAGGGGCACTTGCTGGCTGTGAGCTGCACGAGTTACGACGTCCTGGATTATAAGGCATACGCACGTGCACGCGCTCACAGACGCGCGCGCGTACGTACACACACACGCGCGCGCGCGCCTAAAAAAAGGTGAGAGAGAGAAAGAGAAAACAAAAAAGGTTCGTGAAAGGAGGCGAAGAAGGAGATCTAGGGGCGCAGGTATACATGCTCGGCTTTCTGAGAGCGTCTTGACGTTGGGGGTGACAGGTGCATATGCGCTACGGCAGCGTTTTCCAAGCGGCAATGTCAGCCTCCCTACTGATGTATGTTACAAACACGCCCACGTGAGAAAGACATGCAGGTAAACGAGAAAAGTCATATGGATGGCTGAATAGCCGATTATTGCTATTCCACCATTAGTTCATACACATCTAGCATTCTAAGAGATTTTAATACTATGCCTCTGGCTATTTACTGATTTCCTCCCCCTCCTTTCTCGATATTCCCCAGGGAGTGAAAAAAAGGCTATATCTGTCTTATATTAACTTAGATCTGCAACAATCTTTGCCTCTCTGATTATTCAAAGAATTAAGAAACAATTATCTAATCGCATTCAACTTTACGTATTCATACGTTATGAAACTATCGAATCGCTTTCAAAATTTTTTTCTTCTTTTTTTTCCAACCAAAGATGAAAATGAATATGTCACTACGATTTCATGTAATAATTTAAATAATGAAACTTGCCAATGTTATTTTTCTAAGCTTCTACAAAAATAATTGATAAAATAAAGAATCAGTTTTTATATATTTTTAATTTAGTAGTTTTCATGGATTTGTATCATACATAGCTCAACTTATTTTCGAATAATTATTTTAACAATGAATATTATAAAACAAAAAACTATCATCATCATCGTCATCATCATCATCATTATTATTATTATTATTATTATTATTATTATTATTATTATTAATGTGAACAAATTCGATAAATCGAAATAATCAGAAATCATACATGCTGACAAATATTGAATTTTACTTTGAGACGATATTATTGGAGTAATTAGAGCCGATTAATAAAAATCTCGGCCTAAATTAAATTCAAAAACTTATAGGACAATGAAATATCTTCTATCGGATACCAATTGAAATTAATACAAAATTAAAAATATTGCACCTTCAGCTTCTCACGAATCTCTTTGTTTAAAAATGTCACAGTTGTTGACTTCCTTGGATGTGAATTGCGGAACCAAGCTCTTGCACGACTCTTGAGTCCCTTTTTGAGACAAGGCACAGAAAAAGAAGTCGCGTCGCATACTCTCTCTCTCTCTCTCTCTCTCTCTCTCTCTCTCTCTCTCTCTCTCTCTCTCTCTCTCTCCCTCTCTCTCTCTCTCTCTCCCTCTCTCTCTCTCTCTCTCTCTCTCTCTCTCTCTCTCCCTCTCTCTCTCTCTCTCTCCCTCTCTCTCTCTCTCTCTCCCTCTCCCTCTCTCTCTCTCTCTCCCTCTCTCTCTCTCTCTCTCTCTCTCTCTCTCTCTCTCATTCTTTTTCATCCTGCAAGCCACTATGTTCGGAGAGCTACACCAGCAGATAAACACGATGCAATCCCAGGTATTATAGGCTAACTGTTTTGTGTTTTCAAACGCTTTTACGGTTGCACTTGGTTTATCAATTGAGTAATACGCAAAAAATGTAGCCACAATTCTAAGCTTTAATTTATATCAAATCATTGTTTTCGATTTGAGAATTCATTTTCAGAGGATCTTGCAATTCTTTCATCTAATGAGTAGACTGAGGGGAAAGAGTGATATGGTTCGTGTACGGATTTGGTGTATCTTTAACATCATCGCTTTGCGGCTTTGATACTTGGAGACTAGTGGGATAAAGTTGATAAGTACGTCAAGTATAGGCATCATTCAGAACAACATTTATAATTTCTTTCCTCAAATATCTTGTTTATGAACGGTGATGGTTGCGTAAATGAAATAAATGTAAACGATGATAAGCTTTGCGATGAAACCTTGTATATTCAACGTTCTTATCGAAGCAATATAAAACATGAAGAATAGACCTCTTCGTTATATGGATATACGTCAAGAGAATCTTTGCGTCTTAAGGCATTTTCATTTTTTTCCATTTGTCAATTTTGTAAAAGCGAACAGCAGAGTAAAAAAACGAGCGAAAGATACGCGAGCGAGTGAGCGCAAGGGAATGTCTCTTCGAGGGATGAGAGAAAAAGTGTATGCCGGGGAATCTCGAAGGCCAATAAGCGAATCGAAACGCATTTAACTTTCTCTTTTTTGTAATAAAGTTGCCGTTTTATTGCTAATTCTTTCGTGTAAATTCTCTTGATCCTTTTTTGTTTCTTCCCAAAAAATTAAAACGAAAAAAGCGTCAACAAGTCTCTCAACTTCAATTTTATTCCTCGAATTACCTTTCCCGTAATAATTACTTTGCTTGCGGATATATTAATAATAAATAATTACATTGAAAATTCGATAAATCCCTATGCTCCATTTTAACGCATACTCTGATCTGTGCTTATATAATAATCTTCACAAATAATGTCATGTAATTAAATTTGTATTATCAGTGTATTGTCTTGATCATAATAAAAAATAAATAAATTAATACATTAATTATTAAAATAATAATTATTAAAATAATATTATTAAAATAAATAAATAAATTATAGGAAATTGAACATTTTATATTATACAATTTCGCTAAAATTAATAAAAAAAATAAAAGAAAAATAATACGTAAGAAATTCTTTCAACTCTAGAAAACAAGAAAGATTCAGGAATGGTGATTTCAACGATTGACTACTTGCGCGAGCGAGGTGCTTACTTCCATACATTATAACAATGCAAATTAAGATGTTAATTTTTCCGATTGGTCGACAAATTAAAGTCTGATTCACATAGTAAAAAGTTAATCATTGATACTTAATAATGATACTGCGAACGAAGTTGGTAAAAAGTGAACTTTTCATCGTTTTGAAAAATTAATTCAACAAATTTCAAAACCCCTACTACAGACTTGTTCTGTCTCATTGGTTTAATTGCGTGATTGAAAATTTTCCACGGCGTGAGCGTCAGTCGCATTAGGTGGCACCGGAGAGCCCCGAGGCTGCCCATTTTTCACGAGTCTTCTTTTTCTCTCTCTCCCTCTCGTTTACGCTTGCGTTCGCTGCCTCGTTTTTTTTCAATTTTTTTAATTCTGTCCGTCCGTCGTCTCCTTTTTCTCCTTTTAATCCCGGGACTCTCTTGCGCGCGTCCGTTCGCTTGACTCCCTCCCCTGTTACACAAACGCGCGCGCACACACACGTACATGCGCACACGAACACATACAACTCTCTTTCTTATCATTCTTTCTCCCTCGTATGCACCACTCAACCGCTTCTTCGGTTTTACACACGCCCAACTTCAGCCAGATTTAACTTCTCTTATAATCTTTCCTCCACTATGCTTCATCTTTTCATTTCCTTAACTTCTCTCTTGAACAAGATCGATTGCCCTTAATATTTCTTTTCGCAAAGTCAATCACACGTAAGGAATTTTGCGTTAAATTAGGATTGCGAATATACAAATGCTTGCATTCTTTTATGCGCATGTATAAAATTTGTTTGAGTCATAATACACATGTATACCTTTACATGCTATTAGGTAATGATGCTAGCAGCAATAGAACCAACGGATCGACCTCTCGACAGATATTCACCTGATGGTAGTCCCCACTTCCAGAGCGATGCTTTTCGAAGCGATGGAAACCTGTATCGTATTGCTGCAGGCGGCCACTGGTACCACTGACTATATGGCCTATGAATGTTCATTGACTGAGACTGAGCCGATTAGAATCTATATAGAATACCTTGCTACATTGTATAGCTTCCTGCTTCAAAGATTTTTCCGATCCTCATTAAAGCTATAAATATTGATTTTGAGAACATGATTTACCGCAACTCCTGTCGTATACTTCTTACTTCTTCGCACCTACAGTCTCTCAAATATTATTATCTGTCTGCTCCTATTATTATAGAAAATAATTTACAGTTCAATAATCTGAGCAAAGGATTGGTGACAACTTTAAGGAGGTATTTGCAATATTTTTCAAAGCACTACTTAGTGTTCTAACAATTGCTCAAAAAACTACTTTCGATTACACTTTGCTTTATATATTATTTACAGGTACATATGCAGGTAATTTTCGGAGAGTTGACGGCGAATAAGCTGTCGAGGCAAGAAACAGAGAAAGAGAGAGAGAGACAGACAGACAGACAGACAGGCAGACACAGACAGACAGACAGACAGACAGACAGACATACATACAGACAGACAGTTGGAGAGAGGGGGGAGATGGGAGATAATGCCGGGTGGCCATCGCCGAAGACGTCGTCGTATACCTGAGATCTGCTCTCTATAGCTTCTTCTCGCTCCAACGCACGGCCTTTACGTAACGTTCACGACGTCGCGCCGTTCTCGTCTCTCTCTGTCTCTCTTTCTCTCTCATGCGCGCGCACTCACTCTCTCACTTTGGTACGCGCTTGGATGCTGCGGCGCCCAGTCGTAGAGTGGGAGTAGCAAGAGTCCGGCAATGCGTGGGGAGAGATTAAGTACCAAGTGAGCGAGTAAGAGAGAGAAAGAGAGAGAGAGAGAGACAGGGAGAGATGGAGTCTGAATCGTTCAGTGTGTAAGAATGAGATGGCGCGAAACGAAGCTGACGTAGCACGTAAGGTGCGGTACCACAGGTGGGGGAAACGGTCTCTTAAGAGTGAGAGTGAGGGAGAGAAAGAGAGAGAGAGAGAGAGAGAGAGGAGAGAAGAGAGAGAGAGGCAGACAGACAGACAAACAGAGAAGCAAAGCGCGTAGGTATCTTGGCTGAGGTAGAGCGAGATGAAATGAGAGAGGGATGCTGGGAGGAGAGTTTGTCGATGAGGTTGCCGTGCGGCCATGTTGGTTAGCGAGTAGCCGGTGGATAGATGTCTGTGAGTGTGTACGTGTGAACGGCGGCGACGGCAGCCTCTTCCGAATCTGCCGAGTGTGGACCGCGTCGAGTGGAGCGCCTCTACCTGCCTGAGAGACGACGATATACCAGCACGCCGCCGATCATCTTTGACTCTGTAGGTGTGTATCGCCAGTTCAGAGTAGCATCGCAGCTCTAGCTTGAAGCCTTTTGTTTCGTTACATCGAGTGCGGTATCTCTTTACATTGTTTGTTTTCGTGTCTATAGCAAAGTGATAAATCGGTGCTGGATAGTCTAAAGTGTGTGTGAACGTGAGTATGAGAGAGAGAGTGTCGATTTTTTTGAGCACCGATTAATTTTCTTAATGAACTGCATGTATGTTGAAAGGAAGAAAGAGAGAGAGAGAGATCGAGAAGGGTGGGAGGGAGGAATGGCGAGTGTTAAAATCGGTGAACCAAGACTGCCGGGTGCCGAACAACTATTAAAAAATGTGAGTCCTATATGTGACAAACCATATAGTTTGTAGTTGTGACGTTGCGTGTAAAGAGAAAATACACACACACACTCGCGCATATGCCAAAGTAGCAGCAGACGGACATCTCTTACCTATGCCGCGAGCATCTCGAATCTTCTGAGATATCAATCTTCTTAATGTAAGTAATCATACATCTTCATCACTACGTCTTGCGTTTTTATCAATGTTTATTACTCGTTTCACTTGGTATCACTTGTGTTTTTGATTTCTTTCGCTCATATGTATCTGTTAGCTTAGTGAGGGCGGAAAGCTAACTCCCGATTGAATCTCGCGTGGCGGTGGCGGTCCCATCAGGTTTGTCCTTTGGAGTTGTGTCTGGAATCAGGTTAGACCGGCCGAACCTGCTCTTCAACATGTGTTACCAGAGCTCTCCGATTCTCTCTCTCTCTCTCTCTCTCTCTCTCTTTCTCTGTTTCTCCTCCTCGTGCGTTCTACATAGTTTCACGAAAAATAACAACTGTGTGTGTGCGTGTGTGTGCGTGTGTGTGCATGTGTGTGCATGAAAGAGAGAGAGAGAGAGAGAGAGAGAGAGAGGAAAGGGATAGATTCTGCTTCATCAATAAGGGGACTAAGAAACGCTACTGCTTCTTAAAATTTCTCCGGCGACGAATACTGGATATAAAATCTCGGGTATTGCAATTGGTCTGTTAACAAATATTGACTTATTGATCCAGAATTCACTTGGCCACAGTACGCAAAGACATACTTGAAAGTATGTTTTGAAAAGCCATTAGTAGTGTAGCCGTGGAGTTCTTAAAAGAGAAAGTATAAACCACTAGAATGAATGAGCGTGAGGCATAAAAAAGCACCAGCAATGGCTGTTGCGCGAAAGGCGCGAAAAACCTGTACCAAGAAACCTTGCGCTTAGGCCTAAAAAACGATTAATAATCTCGAGATTGGCATGTTTGCGCAGGCATTTGTAGCGTTCGTCTATTATTACACCTGCCCATTCATCGTAAAAAATATAGCACTCATTAAGAGCATGCGAATTCCTGTTTATGAACAACAGTGAAGCGCCCGCACCGTGACCAGTAACACTGGTCGGTGGACCAGCTGATCGACAAGATTCTCAACCCGACAAACGGGATTCACCGACTGGCTCACGAGACTAGATGCACACAAACGTTCTGGTGACCCTGGCCCCGAAACCTGCCTCTTCCCTCTCCCGCGTTTCCATCATTCATATCGTTGTATTCTTTTACAGGTCAGGAGATTGTCGCGCTGCATCTAAAATCATCACGCAATCCTATCCGATAACTTGGCAATAGGTCTATTACAATAATATACTTTCCTGTTACTCTGCTCATTGAACTCACTTAGCTCTTGCCGCTGTTATTTGTTTGCCCTAAACCTTACAACCTGACCAAAATCCACGATTATCGCTTACTTTTCGCACTAACATCCAGAATATTTGGTTTGTTTGCAGTTCCTGACCTCATTCGACACTTCCGCAAATGTGCCATACAGCAAGCTACTGTGATAGTAACGAGGACTGGACTGGCAAGTGTGCCTAGCTTATACTCATTAACCGCATTTTATCAAATCAATTTATCCATACAAACTGGAACAAATATGTCAACGTGTACCGAACCGGACAACACCACAACTCTTCACATTCAGGAAGCTCTGTCACCGGTTCGTATCTATTCTCTTTCTCAGTCAACATACTCTCAGGTACATCAATATTTTCATCTCTTTCTCGCTGCTATCCCAGAAGCATCCCTCTGCCTTACGCCTTCATTGACTCACTTTCTCATCCTTATCCGTAATTCTAAATATTGGTATCATGTACTGCATTTTCTTTTTGTTCACTGTAATCACTATTTATGCCATTAAATTTAGAACCAAATGATAATTTCCTTGTTCTACATTCTATCTGAATGTACCGGTTCATAATTATTTTTCAAAGGTTAGCGAGTCAGTCACTATTATTGTTGAAAATCGTGTAGAAAACAATATTCTTGATTTAAGTAAATAAACACACACATACGTGCACATGCGTACTCACTTAGTCATAGAAAACACCTGCCTATCATCAATAGAACAGTGAAATTTTCTTTGATACTTAATGTCTAATTTACTTTTTCCGTTGGATTCATCGATTCATCAATGCTAAGGTCAAATTATCTCTGGTGAATTCTGTCCTTCTTTCTTTTACTTTCTGTTTTTCTCGCAACTTTCTTGCTCAATTTTCAAGTGACGTCCATTGAACAAATCAAACTCGTGACTGGTATGTTATTGGTAGCTATTTTATCATCATAAAAATTAGCCTTCTCAACGTACTTTCTCACATATCATAAAAGTCTTTTTAAATTTGAGATGACTAAACGGAAAAGCTGTACTTCACGGCTACAGAGCTTCCATGTATAAGTCGGATCCTGTATACATATATATAATTTTTTTTTATTTCCCCCTCCCCGTCCCACCTCCATCTCTATCTTTTTAGACTGTTAATGTGTCACAGATCGTTTATCTGAACTTTTTAATTTCTTCTGATTTTTCCTGATTTTTGGATGTCATGTTAGTGATATACGTACTTTTCATTACTTGATGATGAAAATTCATTATACTTATGTAATAAAAATAGGATAAATATCATGTTAATTCACACGTTTATCGCTTTTGAAAAATTATATGATGAGTATGTATTTGTGTAATCTAACATAACAATACCAGGAATGAAGAATTTCAAATTCTCATTCTCTCGATCGTTAGACATATTGTGCTCATAGGATTGTATAGATTATTTTTCGGCGGCTGTGCGAGCGTCGACTGCAGAGGCGCGAGTTGCAGAAGGGAAGTAACTTTCAAATTCGCTTTCAAGAAATCAATGAAGTGTTAGTGAAGAAAATAATGCGAGCCAGATTACAACGAATTTCCATTATGCAATTGCTAAGCAACGTTGTTACTTGTCGCAGATGTGTAGAGCAGTAAACTCATCTTTTGTCAAAAAAATTCGCTCTCATTGGTCTCATTGGCTTAGATTATTTTCTGTCGTCACATTTTATTTATTCATAATAATAAATTAAATTATTAGTTTTAAAGAAAAATTGTTTATCCATAAGAACGAATAAAATTAACGCTAAGCGAAGCGACGGACACGATTAATAATCAGGCAAGTAAGAGATCGAATATGCGAAGGGCAATTTATGCACATGTTACAATCTGTATGCGCGATGAGATTAGACGCGCCAAGCAAGAGTTATCGGCTTATAGCTCTTCTCTTTCGTACTTTTCGTATCAGTGCATATACAAGCGTTGTAAAAATTAACGAATTAAAATTGACAAACGACCGACTATTCCGCACAATGAGCAAATACACAGGCAGTTAGCAATCAGAGCGATGATGCGCATACCGATGACCTGCGGCTATTCGGTTCTTCTCAATTAACATTCCTGAGTATCTGTCAGTGTGCGAGCTGGTGTGTCTATTGAAAATAACCGATTACGCCTGAGTCAACTTTCATCGAGGATGCAAAACAAACATACAAACAAAGACAAAAACAACAAATGACAGAAGATGCGATGAAATTTGACGACAGAGAATACGTGCGTCCAAGAACAGGCTATCTCTCTTCTAATCTCTGCCCTTCTATATTTTTATCTCAGTTGCACAATGAATTACGAAAATCCTACTCTGACGTTTCGTATGCCTGTATAAATCTCTAATACATCATTTCAATGCGAGATTCAATTCGGCTGCTGATAATGGATAAAATAGAATACCATTATACGCGTTTGCTGCTTATGCTAGCGGATTTGTCGCAAAAGCCAACTTAAATTCACCGTTTTCTGTACAATTTTCATTGTTAGCCCTAAAATTTCATTTTTATACTCTCCACAAGCTTATCTTTTCTAGTACTTTCTTTTGCCAAGTCAAAAGACATAACTTCATTCTTGTATACGTGATTACGTGAATATTAAGCAACTTACTGAGCTTCATATATTGTGATGAATATTTAAACCAGAAAGCAGCATTCAGACAACATAAATGTGCATATAGAATACCAACAACAATTGAAAAGGGTTTCAAAAATACAAGGCGTGATTGAGATTGGCGACTTTGTAAATCTGAGAGAGAGAGAGAGAGAGGAGAGAGAGAGAGAGAGAGAGAGAGAGAGAGAGAGAGAGAGTAGAGAGTAGGATAGAGAGGTAAGCTTACAAATTGAATAACTGAACTGAAGATTTGCTCACACGCACATATCAAGGAGCACGTCGAATATCTGGACGCCGATCCTGCTTTTCGTATTGACTAGCTCTCTGTCTTTTTCTTTTCAACTCGCACTCTCGTCACTCTCGTGAAAAAACGGCGACGTACAGATTTGAATATAATCAAAAATGACAAGGAAATATGCTTATCTTGTTTTTGGCGGGTGCCATGTCACTGCTTATACCGTAACTAAAACCACGCGTGAACTTAGAAAATTATATTCCCTGATCTAGGTATAATATGATAGACTCGGTGACTTGACCCTTCTTATTCTTTATATATCTGACCCGTGATTGACTTGGACTAAATGATATTTCAGTTTTGCAAAAGAAAATGACGAAAAACACCGGTATTGAGATTGGCAGTCTCCTGACAAAGACGGCTACGTAAATGGAACAAAAGTATACTGCAAGTTTTTATGGAGATGATGGATTTTTCGACAGTGATTAAAACATATTAAACTTTTATGAAATTTTAAAATAGAGAAAGGAATTCATCTTCTTTTTTAAATTATTATAATACAGTAAAAAATTTGTGAAAAGTGATAATATATTCAAATATAGAATGAACTTTTCGCTGTCCAAAAATTTGACAAAAGTTGCAATGTTGAAAACTTGTCAGATCGCTACATACTTGCAATGTATTTTCGCCTATTTATGTAACCGTCTTTGTAATATGATCCCGTGACCTCAAATCCGAGTAGATTTTCGGTAACCTTTTTTTGTTGAAACTTTGGATAACAGTTGTTTATCAAAGTTAAAAATAATGAACACACTTAAAACTTACGTTTGATGGATTTTAGTGCACAGTGATTTTTTTCATTGCTCTATGTCGTCTCAATGTCGTTTTAAAGAGATTCAAGATTTTGTGAATTTTTTCTTTATGGAAGAATTTTGTCGGGAGCTGCTATTAGACCTATTAAAACGCATACCGGAAATCTGCTTTTTTATTGATGATACTATCCTGTTAAAATATCAAACCCATTTCTGTCCTATTAACCTATAGTGAACATTCTATAGAAAATGACATAAAATGAAACCGAACTGTAAAAATAAAAAGCAAAATGAAAAAAATATGACTATAAGAATCGTAAGAAGGAAATGAAAACTGCCTTGATAGCTACTGAAAATAGCTAAGATACGCGGCATGACGGTGTTGCATGCATTGCCCCAGGTGCAGGAGGGTCCCGTCTCGCCGGCCTCCTCGTCGCTGAGCAATCCCACGCAGTCGGACCCGTCGGAACAGGTGTTGCTTGCTACGATGCAACCCGTGAACGTGCTCGACCTCCACGAACCAATGCACTCCAAGTATCATCATCACCATCACCACCACCACCATCACCATCACCCCAAGTACAATCATCACCTGCACAACAATCACTTGCAGTCGTCGGACACCGAGGTTAGCTCAGCTCCCGATCAGCAGGCACAGACTGATCCCGAGGATGACCCTCGGGTTAGTCCAGGGTCTGGCGTAGGTGAGCACAAGATGATCGATCTGATCTACAACGACGGCCAAAAAACTGTCATGTACACCCACGACAAAGAGATCATTTACGAGAGTGAAGCCGATCGCGTGCAAGTGGTGGAGTATCCGCCGCCTCCGCCATCGCCACCAACTCCGTCACCACCCTCGGTGAGAAATGGGACCCCGACGGCGACAAATATGATTCCCGTGAATTGTGTGTCTCGAGGTGGGCCAGCAACGGCTCTGCACCTCCACTATCCGCAACTGCAGCTGCAGCATGATCAAGATCTGCCGAGAGCCTTAGCCAACGGCACGACGGTATCGGTGGCGGCGGCTGGCGCGGCCACGACGACTACTGTGCTGGTGTTGTCGGAGCTGGTGGCCGCCGAGCCGCCACAGCCTCAGCTGCCACTGAGCACTGCCGTAGCCTCCCTGCGAGCCGGGTAAGTCTATCTTTCTTCGCTCTATCGTCGATTGCGCCTGCCCCGAGTTGGTAGATCGAGAGTTTTGACCGGTCCACGAAAGATCCAGTCGAATAATCATGAATATGCTGGGCCGCACGCAGTCTCTAGAATTGGTTGTAACGCTCGGCAGAGCGAGCGCCGATATATATCTCCGCGAGCATACGGCCAATAATCATTAAGTGCTAGGCGTGCCACCTTGCCTTTTGCGATAAATAAAAATTCATCCGCTCTCCGCAGAGCCGAATGAAAGTGTCTGCGTGCACGCGGACGCACCGCCGTGTTGTGAGCCGAGAGGGAGAGAGACCTTGGGGCCTCAAAAACACTGTTGCGCGCAGTCTCCGCTCCTCTTTGTGTGCCACGATCTTATACTTATTCTCCTTCGCTATCTCTCGCTCCCCTCTCTGTATTCCCTTTTTTCTCTTTTTTCTCTTTTTTCTCTTTTTTCTCGTCTTTGCCTCCGCCAAAGAATCTCTCGCGGCTTCTGCTGCGCTGCGGCCGCCTGATCGCACGTAATCACGGACCGGCTACTCTCAAGAGAGCAAATCATAACTGAAATTCCCTGCCGGCGCGAGCACGGGCCTCTTTCTTGTTACGCGCGCCCTTCGCAGTTTCATTATTTTTAGACTAGCTCATTCAACGACACTGCTCATGACTTTGTCTACGTGCCTCCGGAGGGCCGTCCAGGGTTCCACGATTCCGTGCAGACTATAACGCCTCGTCTTGAAGGGCATAGCGCGAACATGCGAGTAACATGTTACACTACAGACTTTCTGGCTTATACCTAATTATCTTTTGATCGATCGAGCTATGGCCACGTTTACGGCGAATATCGAGATAATAGCAACGTTCATCCTCTCTATTGCAAATCACAACGATATTTTTCGGATGGAATGCCGTACCTAGCCTTCATCTTCTTACAAACTGTCTATAGGCGAATAATTCTTACGAGCCTTTCCATGTTTTGAGGACTATTTTAATTGATGTTAGTAGAACATCATTTTTCTTTATTATCTAAATCATCAACAATTTGCATGGAATGTCATTTTTTTATGAATTCAACCTTGACTGACCATTAACAATCATTTTATGCTCAGATGAGTTGGCGCTCTGGTCTAACAAAATTCATCGATATCACAGAAAATTGCTTGTATTTACCACAACAGAGTGCATGTATCGCTCACCTTGGCTCGACATTGTCTGCCAGATGAAACTGTTCCTTGGGTGTATTTCTCACGCGAAATTTCGCCCTTTCACTTCGATGCACTCAAGGTTCTTCCGCTGGAAGGTGGCTAAAATGAGAAGTGGCAGGGGGCGCTGCGCGTACACAATCGCCGATTCACTCCATACGTACCAATGAATTTTGACATTCATACGAAGAAACACTGGTATTATCTTATGATTTCGTTATTTAAAAGGGCTACTTTTACGATATTTTTCAAAAGCAATATCTGTTAAAACAGTAAGGTTTATACAAATCATAATAGAACCTTGGCAATTGCAATTTTATCCTGATAAAACAATTCTCATAGAAATATATGCTAGTATCGGCATTATACACTTAAAAACCCCATAAAAGATTACCGAAACAAGAGTGACTTTCATATTATACAAAGAACGCGGGCGCCTATTTTGCCCACAAGTTAGTTAGAATTTTTTCGGGCATTGGATCCAAATTGTTGTTTTACAAGTTTGTGGCAAATAATTGACGTTGAATAATGTCGGCAAAAAGCTATATGCAATTTTAAACATCCGCTTGTGAAGATATTACAGAGAGAGAGAGAGAGAGAGAGAGAGAGAGAGAGAGAGAGAGAGAGAGAGAGAGAGAGAGAGAGAGAGAGATCGGATACGTGGGCAGCGTAAGATGATACGGGTGCTACGTAGCTGAATGAGCGGACGAAGCACACACCCACACGCCCAACGATATAAAGGCTCTACCGACAACCGGCCAATGTTACGCCGCTCAAAATGGCCGATTTATTCGCCTTCCGGGCATAACTTGCTATACTTTTATATTTTGTCATTTTTCTTCCTATTTTTCATTTTTAAGCTTCATTAGACGTTCATTCGTTGTCCTCGATGTTACATAAATGTTCCAATAGCTTTTAAGTTATTATTCGTCATTTTTTAGTCATACTTATAAAATCATGCTTGTGGTTAAATTCGCATAAATATTGACAATGATTCATTCAAATATTTAATATTTTGAGTTAAAAAGAATTTTTTAGAAACTTTCGATAGTAAAAGTTTTAGTTGGATAGCGTATTTCGTTTTCATATGAATTTCAGCATCATCGTATTTAAAAAGTACATATATCATATTTATATAAACATAAAACACTCTTGTTATTCTTTTTTTGTAAAAGCAGCTTACCAATTCTCTTAAATATCCAGCATTGAAAGTGTTACATATATTATAAACGAAGGTTTTACGTATTTTCGTATGTTTATTCGTTGATAGAGGAGGCGAACCTGATGTACATATTACAATGTAATTAAGCGTAGTAAAAGAAATGATAAAAAGGGGCCGCAAATCCAATACAAAAGACAGACTGCTGACAAAATAAAAGAGTGAGAGGGGAAGGGGGAGCGAGTACAACGACGGTAAGATGCAGACAAGGTAAAAGAGCGAACATTTACCATCACTTCTCATTTGTACATCTGACATCACGGATATCGCATTCAAATGAGATAATACATTATAAGTCATGGAATGGACGATACATTTTATTCATAGTAATGGATAATTGGCAAAATGTTATAATGTTTTGTTGGTGCCAATCATTAACGATTAACCGTATTAACGATTAACTTTATACTTTTATATTTTATTACGAGACCAATCCTTCCTCCTTCTTTCACTTGCCCTTCAAATCATTGACTCTCACAATGTTACCTTAGTAAAGTGATATTCCGAATCACAGATTGGGAATCTAACTTTATGAAGTTTGTAAAACAAATTGCATATATACTATAGTACACACATACAATCAGACACACACACACACACACACACAAGCGCGCGCGTGTTTGTTTTTATTTATTTATTTCCAACGAAAAAGCCATTGATAAATTCAATTTATATGATTTTGAACAAAGATCACAGCTGATTTGTTTCCGTACATAAAAACTATTTGCATATCTCATATGCTAATGATTTAGATGAATTTTTTTATTCTTACTACGTTGGTGTTTGTTATATCGCAGCGCGCAGATTCCGCATAAATTAACAAAATATTTCATCTGTTTTTCTTGGTGCATTTTCAAAGTATGTATTGGGTGTAAAAATAAAAGGTTTAAAAGAGGATGCATAGTGCTGAGTCAGGCTTATCATATAAAGAATAAAATGTATAATCTAATAAAAGACGAAATAAAAAATAGCGTTGGTATTTCTTAGGCACACATCACACATCATGCTTATGGTTTCCTAGTAGAGTGTTTTGATAGCGCAGGAAAGAGTAAAGCAAATTGCAATCGTTCCGCATTAGGTCGCAGTTAACGAAAAAAACCGTTTATCGACGTCCTTGAAATTCCAGGGGCTTTTGGGTAAAAAATGTCATCGAAAAATAGATAAGGCCAGAGGAAGACAAAACTAAAATCTCTCAAGGCAATAAACAAAGAGCCGTGTTTCAATGAAACCCTAAAATAGAAATGATACAGGTAATTGATCGACCGTGCGGGGTTTGAGCCTCAAATCTTGTAGCATACGCGTGATTCCAAGGACATACACGCGCAAACATGCGCATGGCTTTACGATGTTTATAATCCTTCTTTTTTTTCCTCGCCAGAAAGCGACGTTTGTGGCTAAGCTGAGCTGTTCGTATTATGTAGAAGAATTATTGCGGAGATCGAACGTCGTTATCTCTGCGTGTGATTTTTTTCTTCAGTTCTATAAAAATGATGTGGATTTTATTGCATGTAAATGAGTATATTATTGCTGTAAAATATTACCGCTCGGAGTTCAAACAAAATTACGGATATGTGCCTATGTGAATCGGTCATTGTTTCTGACGAGAAGAGGTTGGAAAAGATGTAAACACAGACAGCAGAATACTTATCGCCAATGACAAGCTGACGGCACGTGCTCGATAGTTTTTGGCCCGGTTCTTCATGGTGTACTGTTGCGCGGGTGATGGTTGCCAGACGGGTATATTGTAACGGTATACAGGTCTTCGACTTTAGAATAGAGAGGAATGAGGGGCGAGCACCAAACCAGTAAGGTCTTGGCAAACTGGTCGATGTAATAGGACGGCCAGAAGCAGAAGATCCTACAACATGGAACGAGTTAGATTCAAGAGAGAGAGAGAGAGAGAGAGAGAGAGAGAGAGAGAGAGAGAGAGAGAGAGTCGAGCAGGTGTGTGCTGGCGGCGACGGAGTTGTGGCCGGTTACTTGCCTGAGCTGCCAGATTCCTCGAAAGGTCGTTTGCTTTGCTTATACACCCGTATGTCACAACACTCACGCTTTTTCCGAGTGCTGGCTCTGCTCATGCTTTCTGGCGAATCACTCTCTCTCTCTCTCTCTCTCTCTCTCTCTCTCACTCACTCACTCTCTCTCTCTGTCTTTTTCGAATTTCCGAACACAAGACTACATCTACGGCGTAGCAGCTTTATATTTCTAGTCTGACGTTCAGTGCGTCGCGCCTGGAAGTGTTACGCAGCAGAGCATTCGCTGATACACGTCCCTTAAAACTTTGAGAAGCTCGCCTACACATACTTGCGTCAGTCGGCATTGGAATGCCAATAAATCGCTCGCTTGCCGCCCGAATAATGATAGCCGTTTTTCTCTAATCATTTATATATTCCCTCTCGTTCTCGTGCGCTTACGATTGGAGTAATCATCGATTACGGATTTACGAGTGGCGATAATGGCGTTATGAAATTTTACGCTCTCCAGACGAGTGGTTATAGCTATTTGCTCTACCCCCCCTCGTTCCGCCATCTCCCAAGCTCCTGCTCCCACCCACCCGCATCCCCTCTCCAGGT